AAGGGGAGCGGTGTGTGAGATTTCCTGAGCTGGGACGGAGAAATTGGATTGTGGTGGCAGAGCTTCTTTGACCGGAGCACGACGAGGGGCACCGACGCGTCACGCTGTGGCGGAATTATATGGACAATCAAGTCTTAGGATCTACGACAGAGAAGAGAGTAAGTCCCAGACCCGAGCCGGAAAGCTGGGAAATTACCTTTGTGCGCCTTCTCGTTCCAGAGAACGCGCAGGTAATATGGTAGAAAGCGCTGATGGGGGACAGCTGGGTAGCGCGAGCGATGACGACACCCAGCAGGTCGACGAGAGCAAGAATTCAACTCGGCATGCAGTCGTAGATGGCACGTCAGACGGCGCTCAACCCTACGATTTATGCAGATGGTGGCAGGAGGCAAGGTGCAAAATAACGTTGTGTAAGCGCCTTTGCATCACCCGAAACGTTCTTTCGGAGCAATTTCGGAGCAGAGCGATTTCGTTCAAGTGGTACATTGAGAGGAATCCACTTTGTCATTGCTTCATGATTCTTGATCTATTATGCACATCCTGGAACTACGGAGCGATAAACAGGCTAGCCTTTCGAACTGCGGCCACAGCGTCCTTGTTCAGCTCACGAACGACATCCTAGAAATATCAATTTAGACGAATCGCACGCGTCCTGGGATGACTGACTTACCTCTGTAAACTGAATCTCAGAGTTCAATCCCACCCCCGCCCCAGCCCATATCGTCGTCCTCGACATATCGCCTTTACTTCCCTCGGCATTGGCCAACCTCGTAGGAAGATCCAAACCTTTCTTCACGTCGTCAATAATCGCATTGGCGATACCCCTGCCATCCGTCCATTCTGGCCAACCTACGGTCTTGTTCACCTCATCGAATGCCGTGCTTCTGGCAGTCGAGAGAAGGCCAGCCTTGACGAGCGCGTCTTTCTTGGCTTGAGGGTACCCTGATTCGTGTGTCATGAGGAATCGAGTGCCTAGAGCAGCGCCATCTGCACCGAGCGTAAGGATGGAGGCGATTTGGGCGCCTGTGGCGATGCCACCTGCCGCTACGATGACGGGTCCGTCGTCTGGTAGAGCCTTGACTACAGCGGTAAGAAGCTGGTTCAAAGGCGGTGCTGTGGCGGAACCGTGTCCTCCAGCTTCGTTTCCTGTGTAAAGAATGATCATCAAGGACGAATTGCCTCGTGAAGATACGAACCTTGGACGACGAGGACATCAGCGTGCAATTCATTCGCCGCGTGTAAAGCCTCTTCGACCGAGTTGACAAGAACGAAAATGAGAGTTTCCGGCGCCTGGTCGCGAATCTGTTTGACATATCTACCATTGTCGTTTCCAAAAGCAAGCCAAATCGCTTTGACGTGCTCGTTGAGGACAGCAGTTACTCGAGGATCTGGACCCTCGGGGGTGTTCTTTTCGAGAATCCAAGTAATAAAGCCGACTCCGACAGGTAGCGGCGCTTCAGCACTCAAATTCAAGTTAGAGCGAATGGTGCGCAGAGTATCAGTCAGTTGATCAGGGGTTAAAGGCCCTGCACCTAGTCTTAGCTGTCATATTGAAGGATATTAATGGAGGGACATACCAGCGCCGACAAACCCAAATGCGCCACAGGACGTGACCTTGGATATAAGCCCAGGTTGAGATACATTTGCCATCGGCGGTAAGGCGATAGGTGTCTTGAGGTCTGGTGGTATTTCAACAATCAACAAAGATCACACCTAGATGGTGGGTATGCATACTCAGCAAACGCGTCAATCGGGTTGATAGGGAGGCCATTGTCGTTGTAGGGTAAATGGGATTTCGCAGGCCTTAATATAGATCGTTAAATCCGATGAAAGCCGATCATGCGTCAGCATCCACGCCGAGAACGGCAGGGCTCAGTACTGTAATGTGGCGCACATGATTGGTTGAAGATGAGCTGCCCCTATCCATTCGAGGCACGAGGTGTCATGATAAAAGAGTTTTCAATGATCTTCTGTTGTCCAGTCGCAACTTATGCGATGACAAAACAGAGTGGTTCGCCATGTAAAGGCTTATAGCGGCGGCGGTGGGTGCAATTATAGATGGCCTGGTCGTTGTGAGGGATGTGACGAGAATATAACTATCGGCATTGTCAGAGGGAAGAAGATGGAGTGTCGAGTCTGGATTAAGAGGAGGAAGCGTGCAGCGCGAATGCGACTAGTATAACCTTTGCAAGGCGATATCTGGAAAGGCCATAATGCTCATTTCACCTAAAAATCAACGCTCACAGTGTTCATTGTAATAACGTTTTGCTCAACCACTGTGGACGGAGCGGGCCACAGCAGGCTAAACACTCTTCTGCTTGGACATAAAACACACACGCACACACAAGTCCGCACGCCCCCGTATAGCTAGAAACGCATCGCGCAGGAGGACCACCAACAACTTGACGCGATCACAGGGCTCCTGACGTGGCGTTCTCGCAGGGCAAGAGACAAATTACATGACGACCCTGGACCCCGAACTGTAAGTCGACAAGTAGCCTCGAAGCAAACAGATAGTGTAGTTCTTCGCCTATCCAGCCGCGATGTAGCCTGGCGAGCAGGAGCCACTAGACTTTTTGAAACAACGGCATTGCGTCGATTTCTCGTGACCATGAACAATTGAAACCCGACAAAGGCGGAGACCGGAAGATGATTTAAAGTACAAGAAGCGCAGATTTCCGTTAGGATGGAGGAACGAAGTGCATCAGACGGAGGATCAAAAAAGACCAGAAATAGACAGTCGCAGTAAATTAGACGATGATGAGCGACGCCGAGTTAGAAGTCTTCCGTTAAAGGATGTGGACGTTCAAGCCTCCCCCGCCAAAGATTCGTAGAGGGATGTACAATCCCATCAAGGCATAGCACGAGAAGAATGTCTTTGATGGTATTTCGCAACTCATCGTCGAAGAAGAAAAATTCAAGAAAGGGTCGGCGTGATCTACACCACGTGATGATCGTTTCTGAAAGTTTCACGTTTGTTTCCAACCATCATCAACGAATTGCTCCTCTAGGACTCGTTCACGCCGGCATGCATTTTTTTTCCTCCTTCGAAATCGCATCAGTCACGTATTCGCTCCACGGGTAGTGTACCGTAACTGGAGCCTCACCCCGTCTGGTATTTATCTTCGGTGTATCCAAGGATTTCTGGAGATATCACGGTCTGAAACTTCTTTGGGATCTCTGTCTGGAATTTGGGCGTATGCTTTTGGACATGTTCTTCTCGTGTACGGCGGATGTTTGGCGATATATGGACATTCACGAAAACATGTGAGGTGCTTGTCCGTGGGCTCTGGACGTTTCATGTCTACCTGTGGTTATTCTCTGGGCGGTATTTAACGCGTACTGGGATGGCTGAATTCCTCATTCTCTACTGAGATTTCACTGCTACACATCTCAAAGATGAAAACCTTCGCCATCCTCGCTGCACTCGTCGCGTCTGCTTCGGCGTTCACGATCAACTTCCAGAACAGCTGTTCATACAGTACATTTATTTCGCTTTTAGTCACGACAATGACTGACGAACATATTTTCGCAGCTGTGTGGGCCGCCATCGGGAAGGCGTCCAACGGACAGGTCGATCCGTCGCTCTCGTATGGTGTTGCTCTGGCGCCTGGCGCCTCCAAGTCCTATAACATAGACGACAATGCACTTGTACGGCCACTTCCCTTCTCTCCTTTATACTCCTCACTTATGACATATAGGGCGTTCGCGCTTGGGGACGCACTGGCTGTAACTCTAGCGGCGCGAACTGCGCTACCGGCGCATGCAATGGCGGTACGCCCTAAACTTTCATATCTACAGTTTACGCTCACACATCATAGGTCTTGTCTGCAACGACGCCGGCATCACGTCTCACGCGATCCTCTCTGAATACGGGTACGCGGACTTTGGCCAGTGGGGTGGAAAGCGCACCGCCTGGGATCTCAGCTACGTGGACGGGACCATCAACATCCCTACGACGCTGACGTCGTCCGATGGGCAAAGCGTCAAGTGCACTCCGTCGTCATGCCCTGACGATCAAGCGTACCGCTACGACACGGATTACGCGGCGGATAGGAACTCGCCTCTGGGAGCGACGTATACGCACAAGTTCTGTTGAGGGGTTACGGCGACGTATCCAGCATTGTTGTTCATCTCAAAAGTCTTGCCGATTATGATATTTAAGATAATAGGGCTATCTAAAACAGACTCGTGTGATAACTTCTTTGCGCTTTACATCGTGACCGTGATATGATGTTAATTCGTATGTCTTCCGTTACCGTTGCGATGTCCTTCTCTTCTTGGGCTTCGACTCTTCGACACAGCTTTCTTTTCATCTACTCCACATCTTGAACAACCTAAGATCCGTCTCGCTCAATATATTTTTTGTTCTCATCCCCGCGTCGGCTGAAGACAAACTATGGCAGTAAGTGGCGGCGTACCACAGTCACTGCCAGCGACTCTGGTGCCATCGAGAGATGAGCCACTAGAGAAAAGAGGAGACTGACAATGTGTTAATGAGAGGGAAACTCAACGGCGACGTGTTGTTTTGGTTTGAGAAAAACAGAAGAGAGTCTACCTTTCAACCAAATTTGAAAAGCTGCATTGTGTGTTATAACTAGCCCTGTTCCATCGCGAACCTCCTCTGCGGAGGATACACTGGCAGTCGCGTACACCACACATATTTACGGTTTGGCGCGTCCAGTGCTTCGGGCGGCGCCAGTTGCGCTACGAGTCCTTTTCTTTCTTTCGTTCTCCTCTACCCATATGTAACAATGCCATCATCACATCCCACGCCCTTGTCTGGTGCTTTGACATGGGCTTCCAAATGAGTCAACCAAAGAGACGATACTGCACGAAGAGGCGAAGTTGAACGCGGACATGAAAATGTGTGTGACTGTGCCAGAAATCATTCCGTCCTTGTTCAATGGTAATCCTGTAGATTGTCTAAACCGTGATAGGTGTCTGCACCACATGTGTGGGTATCAACACAGCGAAAAAAAAGGCTGTTGGCTCATCATATTGGATACCAGGGATCGAACCCCGAACTAGCGCGCACAGGAGAGGCGCTAATGTTGACCGTTGTACCATATCCGATATGTGCAGATACTCAAAGGCTTATGAGTACCTCAAACTCAACGATCAACATTCCGGCGACAATGACGTTGTCCGAGTAGAGCACTCCGGCATTGTACCCTGATGATCAGGCGTACATGACACGGATTATGCAGTGGATAGGACTAGTTGCGACATACGCCACACAAGCTTTGTTAAGAGTGAAGGAATCTCTCACTCGAGTACTTTCCCAAGTAGCACTCGATAATATTGGCAGTCAGACAGCCTAACCTCGTCAAGCGTTAATTGAGCTAGAGGGGATTGCACTCCCACTTGATGCAGTTGCAGAGCTTACAGTTGACGAACTGTCCCTGCCTAGTAAACAACTGAGAGGAGATACAGCCGCAGATTCGCGTGAGAAACATACTGCTATCAGCGATGGTGATGATATCACTGGAAGCTGTATTGCCAGTGGGATCCTGAACCATGAAGATTACGCGGGTGCCTGCCAGCGATATGTAAGTGAGGCAGCTGGGCGAGCAAGCAAACGCACCGGGTGAGAGAAAACTTGGTGTGTAGGTCACCGAATAGCCATCTATAGGCCCAAAGGTATCGAGGGGTACGGAGGTGGGGGACTGTGCTGGAATGACACTGTGTGAAGATGTTATATGGCGGACATATGGCAAAGAACGTGAGTGTGTACGTCTAGAGAAACAGAATTGGGTCACAGGTCAGCATAAATGAAGCACACTTGCGAGCATGAATGGCGCTAGGAGAAGACAAAGTAACTCAGATTGGACTAGTACTTATTGAAGTCGGAAAGAGCGTACGAGTTCCAGCTGAGGGGTAATAACAGTCGGCTGCCCAAAGACGACGGAAGTACTGCATTAGGTGGCGAGTCACTGTTGGTGAGCGAGGGAAAGGAACCTTACGGGACGTTGATGAAGATAGCATCCACCAGAACGTGAGGAATGATGGCGACGAGGGATATCCACTACGAGAACATTGTCTTGAAAAAGTACAAGGAGAAAAGAAGAAATGTCTCAGTCCGAATCCGGTTTGGCTTTTAAAGGCTGCATATATAGCATCCAATTCTATTGCGGTCCGCTCTAATTTGCCTCGCGTACGGAGGCTGGTAGCGCCACACAGCAACTCGTTTAATACGAGTCTGAATCAATTGCGAGCGCTGTTTCAGGCGGTGACCGATCCCGTGGTGACGGAAAGATACGAAAATGGTTGTACGGTTGGCAAAGTAAAACAAACAATGGAAAAGGTCGCCTATTTAGGACACGTTCCAGTGATTGTATGCATACAACAACGCATGCAATCTCAGCCTTTCTCGGATGGACCCCATAGTGCTGGAACATTCGAATTTCGTGGAAGGTCGTGTTTTGCACTGGCTGAGCATGCCGCGTTACATCAACATAGTTCTTTTGTAATCTCAGGGCTCACTGCTTCGTTCAACGCAAGCTCATCCAATGACACAAGCCGAACAAGTGGCCGCTTACAGTCATGTACATATCATAAAGCATAATTTCATAAACTTCTATCGTATAATCCACCATTCCAGCGTACTGTACAACAACCTCCGAGACCAAAACTGCATATGTAAGATAGTTAAGAAGAGATATTGTAAGGGATAATGGTACAATCTAGTCCATCGCAGAAGAGGATTATGTTGAGGGGTATGTGATACGTAGCGCCGCGCGTCATAATGAATTCAATAAGTTAGGAGTCCGAAGACAGAACCTGAGCGTAGGTAGGGGGCGAAGTAGAGGTGGAGCTTGAGCTATCACTGTCCGAGTCCGAGAGATACTCCCAAGGCTCGTCAGCAGGAACGTCTGGGGAAAAGTCGTCTAAGACGATGACAGAGCGGACGCTCGGAACCACTTCGAAATCGGAATCTAATGCGCCACTGATAAGCCACGCGAGCATGATTACAGGTGGAACAACGCGCACCCTTCTTCCTACGCACGCTGCGCACCTTCGTCTTAGCATTCAGAAAGTCTCCTAAGTGCACTTCTGAGGACAATCCCTTCGAAGGCACGAAGAACTCGTCGTCCCAGTGTCCGTTGATATCTCCGGGTTCAACGATACCCTCAAGACGGTCTAATTCGTCAGGTCGCATCTGCTTCTGCTTCGCCAGAGACAGGCCGTGCCCGTGGTAGTTGAACCGCTCATAGCGATAGACTCGGGACTTCCGGTCCCCGGTCTTCCTAGCCTGCTGACGCTCGTGCTCGAACGCGCGCCTGTCCTTCAAAGCGAGGACAGAGGGTATGGAGGGTGTACGGAGGTGTGTGACGCTGGCGTCCTTATCGGAAGTGGCGGCGTCGGTAGGAGTAGTGGTGGTGGTAGTCGACGCGGTGATAACGGTAGAAGGCATCTCGAAGCAGTCAAGATTCGAGAACGGGGTGAGTGGTGGTGGTACAAGTCTTGTTGTGTCGGTTTATAAGAGCGCAGTGGTGGGAGGAATGGAAGAGACCCCCAGAACGATAAGATAAGCGCGGGACCGGTTTTTTATATGGCCATGGCGTCAGACTACCTGATGTCACCCAATATGGAGTGCCGTGTTACCCCTCTTCGGGCCCGTTGTTTCACGACGCCTTGCTCGTACAAGAACGTGGGCTATGCGCCCGTTGCACCGTGCGATGCTAAAGCGCATCGCCCCCGTAGTGGGTCTCATGCGCAGAACATTGGGGCGTTTCAATGGTTACAAACGCACAAAGTAATCAAAGTCAAATGATGCTCACCGTACACAGAACAGGCAGCGCAACGGGGGGAGTGACGTAGATGGTAGGCACCAGACCACCGTGTCCGTATGACCAGACGTGGGCATGATTGTAACGATCACCGTGCTAGGGGATAACGGCGCTTCACGGCTAAGATGCACATCATCGTCATGTCGCGCCATCAGATGATGAGGTCGACTATCGCGTCGCAATCCAATTGTCAAGGGTGTAATCGGAACCGACTGACGGCCAAGTCAAAGTGATAAGGTAGTTCTCACTCTGAGTCATGGGCATGGGAAGAAACAGATTTCGGCAGATCACTGGAAAAAAATGTCAAAAGATGATTGTTATTTCGGAAACGAAATTCAACCTGCCTTCTCTAAGTTTGAAATGTGGCTCGACCTCGCCTATCAAGCCGTTGACCACATAGCGCAGAACCAAATGCGTCTCATCTAGTTCATTTGGAAGGCTAACCGTCATTGAGAAGCGTTCTATCAAGGTAAGGCTGCTTCGCTAACAAGCTTTTTATACGCTTCATTTCAGACAGGGTATCCTATTTGTGCATGGAAACCTACTCGTCAGTTTGTTCCGTTCAGGCGAGGTAACAGTGCTCTCGCTCAAATAAGGCAAAAGATTGTCAGGCCGAACAATTGCATTTTTCCCTTCGAATGAGAGACTGCATAGGGCCCAATACCTGCAGAAACGTCCTGTTGGTGGTGGTTCATGTTTAAAAAAGCTCTGCCGAGGCCTGCCGAGTGCTGTGAACCGATCGCGCTCGTCGCGTGATGGAAACCTGTCGTAAAAAAGTTGCTTCTTACCCCAACGTTAAACTAGTCTCGTAAACCAGCTCAACGAGAGAAGATGGGATACTCACGATCGTCTCTTAGTAGAGTCTGGAACCTATGTAGGGGGTATAGGCTCACTTCGGACTTCGAAAATTGCAGATGCCGAACCCTAACCACAGAGTGTGCCGTCGGACCGGAACCAGATGGATAGAAGCTCGCAGCTTTTGCACTACTGATGCATCATGTACCTCGAATTTACTGCCTTTAGTCAAAATTGCATATCTAAGGTCTGTCTACGGTTCATCATTCCTTGAATTTTCACTATAGATCACCTGCAACTCGGTAACAATCCTCCGAATGGCGGATGCGCTGCAACAACTGCCCGCACTGCACTGTTGAGGCGCTGTGCCACATCAATCTCTCCATTATACGTAGATTACACTGGTGAAAGTGGGATGAGTGCTCAGTGAACACTGGACGATTTAGCGTGATTGGTAACCAGCGGTAACCCTAACCTTAGTGCATTTTGAAACTCCGAAGTGAGCCTCATAGGCTCCAGACTAACGTTAAACCACGACCTACACTTTTCCTCTCCGTTATGTCAAGCAAACGCGCGCGCACTCGCGACTCGACTGATCTGCTCATGCAGAAAATGTTCTCTGAATACATCATCCGGGAATCGGCTTCGCGCCCATTTGATGGTGTTACAAGCTACCGAAAACAATATATGCTCACCGTTCTCGAAAAAGACGCGGACCTTGCAGAGAAGCTCAGACTTGCGTCGACTCCGAAAGACTGCGAATACACGGAGAAAGCCACACTGTGGCGTTCCTATCAACTGGAAGCCGACGAGTTGCTGCAGAAAAAGAATTTTTGAGTAGCACGCGAGCACTACGTCGAGGGCGCGACTGCCCTATGTGGTAAGATCCCTTACCTAGAGCAGTACTATTGCGACGCCTATCTGGGGTTAATGAATTTGGAGGGCAGCATTGTCGCCACCACATGCTGTGTCGGCGCGGCAAAATGCATGTACGAACTCGGCGACTATGCTGAAGTAAGTCACACCTAAAAGTCATATTGACGTGCTTCAATCGTGCGATAGGCGCTGCAGTGGGTCTCACAAGTTAACGTTCTCCAACGTCATGCTCAGGTTTCGACAACGGAGGGTACTTTCGGTATGTCTATATAAGGCCTTTCCGTGATGCTGCCTAACATAGTTTGCAGAATGGATGGATTGCCAGGTTAACATCCCAGAATTCTATCGCGTACGATTGCTCGCTGCTGCTGTGGGAGCTGACATATACATCAAGCTTGGGAACACGGGCGCGGCCGTCGAAAACCACTGGACCGCTACGTGTACTCGTGGAATCGTTCCTGCCCTTCTCCTTGACGAAGCGATGAAAGGGGTTCCGGTAGACGCTCCAGGGATGGCTCGTAAAATCCATCTTCAACGTCATCCAGATCCGGAGCTAGCGCACAGGCAGGTTGTGATTGCTCCAAAACTGCAGATCCGAGGTTCATGGAAGAA